CTTCCTACGGGCCAGCGTTTCTATGGCATTTCACCAAATGATCAGAACAGCCCGATGAAATAGTACTATTCTTGTCAACCTCGGTTTCATAGACCAACAGAGCAAAGTTTCGTGGCTAATACAACTCGATTCCAACCCAGGCCCCTGTCTCCAGCCCTCGCTCCTCCCCACGCCACTGTGGACTCCAGAGTGAAACCCAGCCTGACCCGTGTGCAAGCCGCTTCTCTCTGGGGACACAAAGGTTGCAGGAACTTTCTCGCACGTCTTATCAGACCCTAGGGGAGGGCTAAGAGAATATTTTATCTTGATAAAGACCTAAACCTCTCACTCAAGAAGTTGGAGAGCTTATGCAAGCTTGAAAAGGGAATGAATAGCAGAGTTTTTCTGGTCTTGGGCTGAAAACTATCTGTAGCTCATTAAACTACCCCAAAAAGGCACCAGAAAAAAAACACAACCCACAAAAATGTGTACTCTTGCTCTAAAAACATTCTCCCGGCGTCCATCTCAGCCCTTTAAAGATGCATCATCTGCTCTGTTAGTCTTTACAAACTAGTGGGTATAGTGTTGAGTGCCTGGGAGTGTGTGTGTGCGCGCGTGTGTTTCGAAAGGAAGACAGAGTCGGGGAAGGAGGCAACTACTGAGGAATTCAATCAACTCCATAGTGAAAAATATCTAACACTGAAAATGTAGCAGCAAACAGGAGAGTGGGTTGCCACAGCAACCATTTAACTGACTTTTTTGTTTTCCCAGCATTTGTTCTGGGCAGGTGTGTGCAGACAGAGTCCTCAGGAAAGAGTGAGGATGGGGGTATGCCCATATGCTGCTTTCATTTTTCATGATTGGGGTGGGGCTGGGACTGCCCCCAGATAAGGCCTTTGGAATTGGGGTCTTGGACAGTCAGTGCCCCAGGAACCCTGGGTCTCTGAGCACCAGGCCAGGCTGAGAAGTGTCACCATGGGACAGAACTGGGGGCAATGCTATTTTGAACTTCCTCATTGTGTAGATGGGACACAGGCTCAGGAGCAGGGTCATGCCGGGCCACCAACTCCTGGTGGCTGTTCCACACTGGCGTGCTAAATCAGGCTCAAGCTGGGGAAGAAAATGATGTGAGGAGGCAGCATAGCACAACTCAACTGCTTCCACAGAGCAGGGTTGGCCTTTTTCTTCCCAAGGAGCGTGTTCTGCACCAAACTGCGCATCGCCGCTGAATCTACCGCCCAAGAACAGAGAAGAGAGAACTGGAGGAAGCATCGCCTCAAGTTCAGTGGTCAGAGACGGAATCCAATGCAGATTCACCTGCAAGAGCAGCTGATGTTTTAACTACAATCCTCCTCCAAGCAGCCTCTGAGATTTGGCATCCGTGTGCCCTGGGCGCTGCCCAGCGGTTCTCCGGGCAGCCCGGCTGGGTCTGTGCAGCCTCGATGCACACGGAATGCTAAGCACACCGAGTTCCCGACAAGGCCACCTGGTTACAGCCCTGCCCGCGCTTGTCTGCAGCAGTTCTCTCCAAGGCGAGGCTTCATGCGGATCTGTTAAGAGCATCTGTAGACAAGACAGTGTGTGGAAAGTGCAGCTCTGCGCAGGAAAATATGAGCCATCAGTACGCTGTTTTCACAGGGGCCGGAAAATCTGTAGGTGGAAAATATTGCTTTGATGACTTCCCCAGGAGAAAAGAAGGGGCTGAAATTGCTATGGGGTGATAGCTTCCTTTTTTTTTTTTAAGAAAGCAAAATGCTTTCCAGAAGCCCATCAAGGTTAGATGCTATCAGAGCTTTGCTTAATCCGTTTCTTCACAGGTTTGGCGTTGTCACCTCTGTCTGGAACCGTGCCTGGTCTTACCACAAATCTCATCACAGAAAGATCTGTAGCATCTGTGTGCGTGAAAGCCAAACAGTAGGCACCGATGCGTGCAGATGAACAAAGGTCTTGGTGGAATGGTGACCTCCTTGGCCTTGCTGGAAGGGTTAGGGTTAGGGTGGCCCCTGGGAAATGTGGGGGAGGCCTGAATAGTCCCCTGCAGAGAAAAATTCTGTGGGCCCTTTCTTAAAAACTGAGAACAGCATTCTAGGAAATAACCCTTTAGGGCTAGGTGGTATCCTAGCCCTAAAATATTAAATATTTGAAATCATCTCTGTGACTGAAAGTAAAAAAAAACAACAAAAAAAAACAGTCCTACAAATTGGACACCTCCCCCATTGTCATTCTCTTTATTTTACTTTAAATTCCATTACAATTTATTTTAAAGCAGTTCCTGTGGCTTGAAAATATAGGCATTTCAGTTCATATTACTATTTCATGCTTCGTCGTACTTAAATGTAACATAAGTGTCAGGTTCATTTACCAAACTTACTCAGGTCTGGGCTTCGGGGATTTTTTTTCTCAAATTCCATGATACTTGAACAACTCATATTTGCCAATTTGACTGTTTTAAGCACTTTCTTCTTCACCACCATCTTTTCCATGGACGATACCACTCTTAGCTGTCTGACGGACTCCAACGGGAATGTCACCTCCCTGGTCTGCTTTCCCAGTCATAGTAAATGGTCACAGTTGCTCAAGTCAAATTCCTGGAGTGAGTCTGTCACACCTCAAACCCACACCTCGGCAGTTGGCAAGTTCACTGGACCCTACATGCGAGACGATGGAAAACCAGACCACCTCCCACCACCCTCATCCAAGGTGTCCAATTTGTAGGCTTCTGAAGTTGTCTCTCTAGGCTCTCTGTGTCCCCAACAACCCCTCCATGAGGCAGCCAGAGGGACTTTATAAAGGCATAACTCACATGTCACTTTATTCAGTCTCGCATTCAACAAATATCTGCACACTTACTCTGCAGCAGACTGTTCTAGCACTTTCCTGACCTTGAGCAACTGCCAGGGAGAGGACAATCAGCAAAATTAAGGACTGAAAGGTGCAGTGTGAGAGGGTGAGAAGAGCTGTGGTGGAATATAACCCAGAGAAGGAGGACCTGGAGTGTGGTGAGTGGCTGAATCTATCCCAGTTCTACAAACTGGGGGTTGTAGCTTTGGGTACAGTGGTCAGGGAAAGCCTCGTTGGAAGGGGCATCTGAGGCGGGAGAGAAAGCCATCCAGTACCTGGGGGGAAAGGAACAACCCTCTGATGGCTCTTTATCCATTAAAATAAAGCCCGAATTCCCTACCATCACCCAGGAGGTCGTGTAGGGTCTGTGCCCTCGACCCCTCTGTTCTCCAGCCACGTAAGCCTCTCTTGGGTCTGTCATCACGCCAGGCTCTTTCCCATTTCAGGGTGTTCCTCTGTCTGGGGTACACCATTCATCCCTTCACACACACATCCCTGTGAAAGGATTTAAATCTGAAACGGAACCAAAGGATATGAAATAGAGAATCTCACACATGCGCTCTCAGAAGAATGGGATTTAGGAACCAAGAGACCCATTTCCTGAAAATGCCCCGTTTACAGAACACCCAGACTTCTCTCCTGACCAATTAACATCCACCAAGAACCCCTCCCATCCTCAAGCCAATGGCCTTACTGCTTGGGCTCTGGCTGGACTCCCCTCTTCTTTGCACGACTTGCCCAGAAATAGTTTACCCCGAATCCTCAACGGATTCGCATGTAGGGTTATAGCATGTGTTTCCCGAATTGCAATTTATCTGCTATTCCCGAGTAAACTCACTTTCTAGTCGTTCAAATCTGCCTCAGTGTACCTGTTTATTTAGACTAACACCCCCACCCCTGTTCTCCTTTTCTCAAGGCTGGTTCCTGTCCATCCTCAGATCCTAAGGATGTCACTTCCTCAGAGAAGCCTTCCCCGACCACCCCCAGCCTCCCATCACCTGCCCTCTTTCTGTGATTTATTCTCATCATGGCTCATATCACCATCTGAAATTATCTTGTTTTCTGTTTGCCTTCCCTACCAGGAATGCAAGCTCCAAGAGAGAGAACAGTGTTGGCCTGTTCACAGCCTGGAACAGGGCCTGGTACAGAGCAAACATTCAATACATATTTATTGAGTGCAGAAATCAATCAAGTAGAGCCAGATAATGAACTTGTAAATAATTAATGCAATCCGGGGCAGCAAAGTGGGAACCACTCAAAAACTAATCTAACCTCCATCTTAGGCTCTGCCATTTTATCAACAATAAGAACAATGACCACAATAGCAATAAAAACAATTCAATAATAATTCAGTAATTTCATTTCCTAATTCAATTCAATGAAACAGCTCAACAATCCTCATAACTTGAGCATTTATTTGAAGCCCTTGGCATTTACTCTCTTTTCACCCTCCTGACAACACAGTGAGGGATAGTCCACCATTCCCATTGTAATGGGTCCAACAGTGGAGGTTTGGGAGATGTTTTGCGACAGCCAGTATGGGACAGAGTCAGGATCCTAACGCAAGTCTACACCATCGTGTATAAATTCCTCTAAAGAAACATCATGAAGCACTTATTGTGCACAAGAACCAGTGTAAGAAAGATTTTCAAAACCAGATTGTCTCACAGGCAACTTGGGATGGTTCAGATAAAAGGATTTTTGATTAATTCTGAACTACTTGAAAGAGATCCAACCAAAGCATCATCAGAAGGTGAATATGAGCCACCGTTTACTGAGCACTCAGTGTCAACAACGCACTGGGTCGTTCACTTTACATGTATTACCTCATTACTATGTATTATCACCCCAGTTTACAAATAAGGAAACGGAAGCATGGAGCCATCAAGAGACTTGCTTAAGGTCCCATGGCCAGGAAGTGACAGAGCTGCGTACCGAGCTCAGGCCTGACTGCACAAACACTCGTCACAGGGAAACCCAGCACTCTGTGGGTTACATCTGGCCAGTGGGCAGGAGCTTCTGGGAGTATAGAAGATAACTAGAAATGCCTAACTGGGCAACCTTCAGGTATGTTTGCAAGACTTGAAGGAAAACACCCATACTCCATCCTGGAGAAGGTTCTTTTCTTTATCTAAAGGCACTGTGAACCCCTTGGCAAGGTCTCCTCCCTCTCTCCTTACCCGTAAGCCATGGACCGCTGTCTCTGAGACCAGGACGCTTCCTGGGGAAGGGGCTTGGAGTTGGGCAGGAGCAGCTCCGTTGGAGGAGCCGGAGCCAAACCAGTGCCATCCAGGGGCCTCCTCCTGGCCTGTGCTGGGGTGTCTCTGCCACTCTTCCCTTTGTCCCCTCCAGAGGGTCCAGCTGGTGGAGCTAAGCCGCACCAAGGCTGAAACCACAAGCATGGCAGCCATGGCTCAGCTCACCCTGTCGGGCTGTGGGAACAGACTCTGTCCAACGGGAGTCTGTGACAGCCTGTGCCCTGGAATTTTCTGCTTGGTTCACCAATTCCTAGCTGGACCTGCAGTGGCTTTGGTGTTGAACAAGGCGGGCATTCAGTCTTCAGTTCAGCAATTAAGAGGCTTTGAGGACAGGATCTCCCTTAGTTTCCAGAGGATGACACAGGTTGAAAGCAAGTCTTGAAATCGCGTCCCCTGAGTTTTCCTAGCTAGCGTGTGTCCTCTCCATACGGCCTGGAGAAGAACTGGAATTGTGATTGGGGGCAGGAGGGGCAAAAAAAAATTAATTAGGCTCCTGACATTCAAGTGGCAACCCAACATTTCCAAAATTGAACCTTGATTTTCAAACCCCCCAAAATCCTGCTTCACCTCCAACCTTCTCATCCCAGCTAATAGCAACTGCACCCTTCACGTGACTTAGCAGAAACTTTGCAGGCATCTGGGTCTCTAACTCTCTTTCAACCCCACACCCTTCCAGTTATAACTCCTTCAAATCTCATCCAGAATCTGGCCACTCCCACTACCCCCCCTGCCCCACGGTCTCTGCACAGATGCCTGCAGTCTCTGACTAGTCTCCCAGCTCCAGCCCTTGACGCACTATTGTCACTTAACTCAGCAGCCGGAGCGTCCTGTTGAATCAAAGTCAAGGCATGTCATCTGCAAAGAGCCTTCGATGGCTCCGTAATCACTCTCGTGAAAGCCCAAGACTGACATGACAGCAGCCCCTGCTCGGGGCCTCTCAGCTTCCAACCTTCTGCTACTCTCCAGTTGGCTCCTGAAATGCACCGGGCACCCTCAGGGCCTCACACAAGCGATTTTCTCTACCTGGTGTTCTTTCCCCAGATCTCCACATGGCTCCCTCCCTCCTGCCTTCACACCTGCTCAGATGTCTTTTCCTCATGGAAGCTCACGCTCATTTATTGAAAATGACAACTGGTTCCTCACCCCTCTTCTCCCACCTCTGCCCCTCAGCCCTCCTGATGCCTGCACCCTGTTCTGGTACTTAACACTCTGGCATGTTCTTACTTGGTGTGCCTAGTGTCCGTTGTTTGTTCTCCCCGTGAAGGGGAGCGCAGACAAGGCCGCTGAGCAGATGCCGGCAGGAGGAAGGTGCAGTACAGGTTTGTGGAATGAAGGGGAGGCCCTGTGAGGCACGGCACTGCTGTTGAACAGAGGAGAAGGAGAACAGGGGGAATGATCTGGACTTTCCTGCTGGTAGTGAGATGAGATGGGGAAGAGGAGTGGGAGGAGGCACTGCCCCCCCCTCAGCCATTTGTAAACTTACACTGCCTCCCCACTCCTACAGAGAGGGGAGGTCCTTGACCTCCAGGGGCCTGGCCAGGTAAAGGGAGAGCTCTACTCCTGACACACACCCCCACACTGGGTCCTCAGCACCCTGAGCACCTTAGGGCTCCTGGCTACGAGCTGGGAGAAGCAGACAGAGATGGAGGATGTGTCTTTTCCTACCTGTGAGCTCCCAGCGGCCTCCAACCTGGATGCGGGGTCTTCCAGGCACTCGGCTTTCTATATACAAACAGTGGTCCCTGAGCACGAGTGACAGAGAGTGATCCTGATAGAAGCGGGCTTGCTGAAGATGCCAGAATGCAGTGTCCATCCAGGGTGAGGAGGGCACTGTGCAGCCCTGGCCAGAGCACATTCTCTCGTCCAGCCGTCAGGACCCACTCAATGAATCTGGTCTGGGTGTTAGCGGGATAAGCAGATTAGCATTTATTTCTGTGCCTGTTTCAGATCACTGTCCACATTCGTTTCATCCTGACAGGTCCGATCTCCTCCCCAGACGAACACTCAGGCTTGGATCTTGAGAAACCTCCTACTTATTTTATTTTTTTATTTTTTTAAAATCTTTATTGTATGTATTACAGATGTTCCTCATTTTTCCCCCATTAACCCCCTCCTCCCCACTCCCACCCCCCTCCCACCTTTTCCTATACTATTGTCTGTGTCCATTGGTTATGCATATAAGTTCTTTGGTTTATTTCTTCCCACCCCCAGCCCCTTTCCCTTTGAGGTTTGTCAGTCTAGCAATGAATTTGTACTTCTTAATCCCTTCACCTTTTTCACCCATTCCCCCTACACCCCTCCCAACTGGCAACCAACAAAATGTTCTCTGTATCTATGAGAATGTTTCTGTTCTGCCTGTTCATTTTGTTTATAGATTCCATTGTCGGTACATATGTATTCATTGCCATTTTGTTTGTTCACATATTTTATCTTTTTCTTCAAAAAGACCCTTCATCATTTCATATAATAACGGTTTGGTGGTGATGAACTCCTTTAACTTTTTCTTGTCTGGGAAACTCTTTCTATGGCCATTGATTCTAAATGACAGCTTTGCAGGATAGAGTAATCTTGGTTGTAGGTTCTTGCTTTTCATCACTCTGAATATTTCTTGCCCCTCCCTTCTGGCCTGCAAAGTTTCTTTTGAGAAATCAGCTGACAGTCTTATGGGAACTCTCTTGTAGGTAATTAACTGCTTTTCTCTTGCTGCTTTTAAGATTCTCTCTTTGTCTTGAACCTTTTGCATTTTGATGATGATGTGTCTTGGTGTGGGCCTCTTGGGGTTTATCTTGTTTGGGACTCTCTGTGCTTCCTGGACTTGTATGTCTGTTTCCTTCATCAAGTTAGAGAAACCTACTTAAATGAATTTCCTGAGCTGGACTACAATGTGGGGTAAACTCTTTTGTGAGCAAGACAAAGAAATGACCAATAAAAAAGAAGTTTGGCCCGGCCAGTGTGGCTCAGTGGCTGAGCATTGATCCATGCACCAAAAGGTCGCCAGTTCGATTCCTGGTCAGGGCACATGCCCAGGTTGTGGGCCCGATCCCCAGTCAGGGGCATGCAGGAGGCAGCCAATTGATATTCTGTCTCATCGATGTTTCTCTCTCTCTAAAATCAATAAAGAAAAAAAAAATTTTTTTTAATAAAATACTCCGAAAAAATCTTGTTGGAACATCTTTGTTATTCACTTAAAAAATAATTTGGAAACCAAAGTTTTATCAAGTCATCATTTTATATCGAATGCCTTGAAGTTGCCATACATTTTGGGCAGTCTACTAAATCCAGAAGCCTGTTTGTCCCCACGGTGTTCGTCTGTTATGATGATGCCCTTGGGAAGTCGGAGGGGGCTGAGCATTCACGTTACTTAGCACTGTTTCCTTTGGTGTGAAGCCGGAAGTAAGGCGGAGCGGTTCACCCACTGCTGAAGGACCACACCGAGGCCCGAGCGCCAGGACCTGCGGGAAGGTGCCTCTGCATCCCACTTCCAGTGCTGGGTGCAGACAGCACGGCGTCTCTCTCCACGCAGAAGCTGGAAACGCGCACACCGTGTTGTCAGTGCCAACAGTTACCATGTCACAGGACTTTATGCTTCGGAGACCTTCAGGCAGCCCTAAGGAAAAACGGCGGAGGTTTAGACATACTTTTTTCAAGGTCAAACAAATTCTGTTAGGAAAAAAATCTAAAGATGTTGGATTCCCTGGAGGCAGCGACCTGAAACCTGTTTTGTTTTTAAGAGAGAAAGTATTCACAGAAAATTAAGCTTTGTGAGAGAATTTCTCTGATGATTTAAATTGCGCCTCTCTTTTTCTCCCCTCCACAAGAGGAATCCCAGAACCTACACGGGTTCTCCTTAGATGTCAGGACAAGTAGCCCACTCCGTGTGCTTTCTAACTAGCAGAAACAACAGCGGGGAGCCATCGGAGGGTAGGGGATCAGCAGAGACATTAGCAATGACTTAAGAAGTTTACACCTGCAGTCTAAAATCGCCCCCTCATCAGAGACAAAAACCCTGTTAACCAGTTCAAGGCCGCTGCCATAGAAGTTTCTTGATAATTGGTGGTGTCAGTCTAAAGGGTCAGTGGTAGATACACACAGCAAGGAAACCCAGTTTTCACTCATCAATTTATTCCCTACAGAGCAACTTAACTGAGATAAATTACCTTGTAGATAATGACAACACACTTACACACAGAGATCAATGGAAATAAACTTCTGGTGTGTATCCAGGGAGGCACCGCTTTGTCATGACTGATGGACTGACTTTCAAGCACTTACTTATTACAGTGCCCGGTGAGCGCATGGTGGCACTTCCCCAGGAATCTGAAAGTCAGTATGGTTTTCCAACCACAGTTAGTGAGTGCCGTTTGTTTTACGAAGGGAAAAACGGAAACTCACTGCTGCTGGACCAGAAGACGTTTGGCCGTGGTGCTTAGGATGAGTGTTGATTGCTCGTCATAGCGTGATGTTAGATTCAAAGGATTTCTCCAGTGGGTCTCTCTTGTTTGTGATGGGAAATTTTTTAAAGGGGACAACTTTATGAAGGGAGGGATAAACTGTTTTCTCCTTCACTTAGTGCTGAACATCTCTGAGTAAAACAGACTGTGAACATGCCTGGGCCTACTTGAGATCCTTGACTCCTTGAAAAATGAAGCATTCATTGTCTGGACACTGAGCAAGACATTTTCAATCCAGAACTTTGTATGTTTTAGTTGAGCAGTTTTCTGTGTTATTTCTTTAATGTTTTTTTGCTCCCCTCCATTTTCTTGATTTTCTCTAGAACTCTTTTGGGCCTGATTTTGGAATTCTTGATTTGATGCTGCCTTGCTTTTCTCTTATATTTTTCACCTCTCTTTGTTTTAGCTCCTGAGAAATGTCCTCAGCTTGATCTTCCAACCCACCTATCGATGCCCCCACATGATATTTTTAATTCCCAAGAGATTATTCTTGTTTTTTTTGACCATTCATTTATTAATAGCA